TTTTTTTTTATTTTTCTTACATCAGTATTAATTGTTTAAATCTTCATGATCACTAACTAGTCCATCGTATACTTTACCACCTAAACCAACCTTATATTTAGGTGATAGAAAAGAAAAACAAAAATATTTCTTTTGAATTTGATTTTTTCTATATCTAGTCTCAACCTCATATTTGTTGTAGAGGTATATATTCAAAAGCCTTTCAAAACTTGCACACAATTTAAAAGCAAATGAATAATGGTAAAATTTATTGTGTTAGATCATTTTGGTTTATCATAATATATTGATGAATAAGTATATGTATGTATGTGTATGTGGGTGTATATATTGTTTAATTTATGCATAATCACTCCCTTCGTCTCTAATTATAAGTCCTAGTTTTTTAGATTTTTTATAAGTCTCCTTATACTAAGCTCTTGGTGATATCTAAACATTTTTTCCCAAAACACCCCTTGTAAATGATCAAAATTACCTTATCATTTGTTTCTAGAAAAATTAGGACCTATTATAATAATTAGGGACGATATGGGGTATGTATTAATGTTTATGTTATTTATCTTATTAATAAAACTATTATATGCAGGAACTTCTTCATTTGCGAAAGAGGCTAGTAAAAAAGAAGAAACCAGTGAAATGCCAAACAGAAAAAGAATGTCAAGATTATTGCGTTGGAGGACATTGCGCTGGTCACACTTGCATCTGCTTAACTATTGGTCCCCGTCCACCAGCCAAACAATCTAGAAGAAAACTCGGAAATTAATTAATGTTGTCACTTGAACAAGAAACTGTGTGTGTGTGTGTGTGTTATTTCATTGTGTCACTACTTAATTATACGTTAATTAGAACGCCTCTATCAATGTCTGGAAATTGGATTATTACCAAATTATTTTTGACAAGATTTGGTTATTTGGAAAGTATAATAATGTTGTACAATTTATGTAGCTAGTCTCACTCTGTGAGATAGAGCTTGTTGTTGTTTTACTATGAGTTTAAAGAATTAATTAGTAGGTTATTGAAAAAATAATAATAAAATTTCTTTGAATTATGTAAATGATAATTTGGTCACTAAAAATATCATAATATCAATGAAGTCCTTAAAAACTTCTTTGTCAATAACTTTTTTAAGAAAAAAAAACTATTTTACCCTTGCTGAAAATAACAAGATTCAATCATAACTTTTGTGTAAGAAATCATAATTTTTGTTCTATAAATTACAAGAATTAAATAAGAAATCATAATTTGTCAAATGTAATTTTTGTTAGTAAAAAACAAGCCCCAATCATAACTTTTGTTTAAGCAATAACAACTTTTGTTATGTGAATTACAAGAGTTGAACAAAAAATTACAATTTGTCGAATATAATTTCTACTATTGAAGAATAAATTCTCAAAATAACAAACTCCATTTATAACTTTTGTTTAAAGAATTACAATTTTTTCTTTAAAAATTACAAGAATTGAACAAGAAATTACAATTTGTCAATAAGGGTAAAATGATCATTTTTCTAAAAAAAGTTATTGACAAAGAGGCCCTTGGAGATTTCATTGGTATTATGACATTTTGAGGGACTAAAATTATCATTTATATAATTCAGAAAGATTTTATTATCATTTTTCTTAGTTTATTTGTGCATCATGCTACAATTTTATTATTAGTTCGATTTAGATTGTGGTTAATATCAAATAAAGTTATCACTAGTGCATAACAATTACAACGTTGGCTTTTTTTTTCCTTGAGATAAGAATGATAAAATAATAGTTAAATTATATATTTAATATTTTTAACTTTATACAAAGTTTCATTTGAGTTTTTTAATTTTATAAAAATATAGTTTCGGTCTTTTAACTTTAATATTATTAGTTTTAGGGAAAATTAATCTTTTAATCATTCAAACTTTTAACTCATTTGTAACTCAGTCCCTTAACTATAACTCGCTGCGACTCATTCCCTCAACTTTTGATTTACCTATAATTCGGTCCTTATTTTTAATTTTTTTTAATAAAATTTTATCAAATAAGAAGGATAAAAAATGTTCATATATTATTTTAAAATACCCTCTTCTTATTCATTAATGTGAGATATAAGCTAACATGAAAAAAAAATTAACAAAGGTTAAGGGATTAATTTGTAAGTGATTCAAAAGTTGAGGGATTAAGTCATAGACGAGTTATAATTAAGGACTGAGTCACAGCGAGTCATAGTTGAGGGATTAAGTTACAAGTGACTGAAAAGTTAGAGGACTAAAAGATTAATTTTTTCTTAGTTTTATTACAAAAAATTTTTACATTGAACTTTAAATATTAACAAAATATTATCAAATATTGATATATTAACTTAATTTTTTTAAAAAATAACAATAATTAACATAAAAATAATTATTTGAAACTAACGGTGTTAGAGTTATAGTGTTGGAAATATACTTTATAAAGGATTAAATTTAAACATTACATAAAATTAGAAGACCAAAATTATGCTTTAGCCTCACATAGTTAATATTGTTAATTAATTTAAAATCGAGCATTGTTAGACTTGAATGAAGGGAAATCATTGAGTGTGGCTTAATTTTATTTACAAGATTTGAAGAAACTTGAGTACTTCCCCATGGTAAAATGTTGGATATTTTGATAAGAGTAATGATTTTGTTTTTTTTTTTTTTGGTCTATGAACATAATAGTACTTAAGGAGATGACATTTTGGACCACGGAAGCCAAAAAAAAAAGTATAAAACACACAAAAGATTTTTTTTTTTTTTGCCAAAGGGATATAAAATATTGGAAAATAGGATAAAGTACTAGGGTCTTTGTTTGGCAAAAAAATTGCTAGACAAAAATGTCCTTCTCCGTCCCTTCCTCACCCATGTTCACACTCCAGACCCCACACACACACATTCATTTGTAAATTGTAGATGATTACTTGCTAGATAATTTGAAAGAAGATTGATGTAAATATGATTGAATAAAAAAAAAAGAAGTAATTTCAAGGAAAAAAGACTTATAATTAATTATACGAAACCATGTTAACATCACATAAAATATATAGGGCAACGTGATAATATAATTTCTACAAATGTAAAAAATAAATGATTTTCTGTCATGAAATTTATGAAAATATATTAGCAACATGATAGGATCAAGAGAAAAGTTCATCTAGATCCTAAGACAAGATTTACTTTGTACCCACACTATTATAATTAATATTATGATGTACATTTCCAAAAATCAATGAATGTTAATTATTAGTACATATTTTCCTACACTTGGATTTATGAATGAAGGGAGAAAAGTGAAGAATCAAGTCTCTTTGAAGGTTGATACACAATGCCATAAATAATTCATGAATCAAAGAGTTGGGTTTCAATGGAAATCTAAAAAAGTAAATAAGGTTAAACGACAGTTTGGCTCCTTAACTATACGTTTAGTGAGTGTTAATATTATAAACTTATTTTTTGTATAATGTTTTCTCTCAACTTTTGTAAATGGTGCAATGTAACCTTTAATGTTAACAAAAGTTATCTTTGATTCTTTATTGATTAAAAAATGATAGAAGGTGATCAAGAAAATTACTAAAAAGGACAAAAAATTATAGAAAATGACCAATCTTTATCTCTTAGTTGACTAAACAATGATAAAAAATGACAAAAAAGGATCAAAAAATTACATAAAAGAACCCAAATTATTGACAAGGATAAAAATTACAGAAAAGGACTATTTTGTTTTGCAACTTTTGAGTTTTTTTTATCATCATGTTTTGATTAACTAACAATTAAAGTTAACTTTTTTTAATGGTAGGGACTACTTTGCACTATTTTCAAAAGTTGAGGGAAAATATTATGCAAAAAAAACAAGTTTAGGTGATTTTCGAAGATCTATAGTTTAAGAGTCAAGTTACTATTTAATCCAATTAAATATGATTAATTGATTACATTTATAACAATTTATATCATTTAATGTCATTAATTAATGTCGTTTCAGACAATAGTTGTGTAAATTTTAAAAACTATATATAGAAGTTTTTATAACTTTAACCAAATAGTTTGTCTTAATTTGCAAAAAAGGAGAAAAAATCTCTATCATTTAGTAAAAAAAATAAAAAATTAGAATGCATTTAGATTCAGTGAGTGTTTTAAGTATACTAATTCAATGAGTGTTTCATGGGGAAAAGTAATAATTATTTAATTTAATTGAAAGGCTGTTAGAGATTTTGACATATAATACTTAAAAAGCATCAAATTTTAAATTTTTGAAGTGGATAGCATATGTAAGGACCGTTTTGATTATGGGGATTGTTTTGATTTTTTAAGAAAAATATATCTTGATAATTTTTAAGTATTGATAAAATTAATCTAATAGCTATAATTAAGACATTTTTTGAGTGAATACACTTAGGCTACTCATCAAATCCAAATCTAGATAGTTTTGAAATACTATTAATAGATATATGATATATCTATAATTAATGCACGAATTCAAATATATTGAAATAGCTTATAATTAATATTAACTTTAATATTGATTATTTTATTAAAATACGGGCTTCTTTTTGTTGATAACTTCACAGTCGTTTCCTTTCTGTTCAAAGTCCGGTCACTATTTCCTGTTTATTTCAGGTTACATTTCTGTTTTCCAGGTGTATGCTGTGTATTATTGTTGTTTCAGTTTATTATTTTTTCTGCATTATTGCATATAAATGCTCAACCTTAACGTTGACAAATAAGTCAACATTGATTTCTGTAAATCTGCATTTGTTTCCTCAGAATCCTCAAACTCAACCCTAACAGTCCCAAACCACAAACCAAACATCATCGATACATCTTTCATTAATTTCTCCGACACTATATTATTATGATGAATGCAAATTAGGGTTCATTCTCAAACCCTAATTCAAACCCGTTTGACCCGAATTGAGAAAAATTTAGACATATATACATTTCTATTAATAGTCAAAGCTCTCATCTGTCTCCTTTTATTTCAACGCGACGTTTACGTGAGAATCATATCATCATGACGAAGGAAAATTCTCAGAAGAAATCATCATCATCATCGGAAGTATCCATGAACGACATCCTTGGGGAGAATCTAATGATGGAGATACTGTCAAGGTTGGTGATTGAAGACATGGCGATATGTTGTTGCGTGTGCAAGTCATGGAACGCTCTGGTAAACGACCCGTCGTTTATGAAGTCTGTGTATGATAGGGTTTCTGAAGCAGAGAGAATATTCAAGAAGGATCTGAAACTCTTCTGCGAGATATACCACAAAGACGACGACGACAACAAAAGCAAAAGCAACAACAATAATAAAAGAATGAGGTTGATTGATTTGAATGCTTCAAGTATAGCAAAGGGAATGAAACGAAAAGCTTCGATTATCACAAAACGAAACTATGATCTTCGATTTTCTCATCAGAGTTTGGACATTGCGTACATTAGAGCTGTTAATTGCTATTCTCCTACAGCTTTCATTGCTTTAATGTTGAACTCATCATCATCATCATCATCAGATGATCATTAATCATGCTCATGGATGGCTAATTTCTGAATTGGATCTTCTATGTATGTATGTATATGTTCATGCATGTATTCATGAGAGTGACATGAGAGAATGTGATTATGTATGTACGCGGATAATATGTCATTATTACATTTATTCACTTTTGTCTTTTTATCTATCTTCTCATGCACCAATTAATACATCTATTTTTGTGAATGGAGGGAACGTGATGAGACTGATTTACCTCATCTTTTTTTTCTTTGGTGTTTGATTTATCTTTATTTTTTGGTGCTATGATTTTTCTTATCTTTCACACTAATATTATGTAGACAAACGCACTTTAATTTGAATATCTTAATTTTGCTTCAAGTTTTAATTTTGGACAATGGATTTCTGATTATATAATATTTTATGAAAAATTACGGATAGGTTCCATACAACAAAATTTATTTTATAAATAAGTCATGCAAAATTTATAAACTATAGCCAACTTTCTTGGAACTTGAGTATAATTAGAGGTTAGGATGTAAAGACAATATTACCTTTATTAATTTGGGTTTGCTTACAATTGCAACATCATAATGTACAAGTGAAAATTTATACAAATCAAATTTTTTGTTTAACGCTTGATATAACATGGAGTTAATTATACCTACTTAAGGTTATAATTATATATTAAATTATGAATTTTACATCCTAATTAGACCAACTATAGCCTTAAGTTGGCCAAACTTAATTAATTCCATAGAGACCCCATATTATTTCAAACGTTGAATAAGAAATTTGACTTGTAATTCTCCCTATATTTTAACAAATAGTGGCATTTTGTTCCTATATTTTTTCCTTGTCAACTTTCAAGTGGTTATCCTGCAGTATTTTAAAAATTTGCAAACTACAAATGTCATTTTCTCCATTAGCAGTTGCAAGTGTCATTTCCCCATCATTTTTTGCTATGGCCAAGATTATTATAAGGGATTTAAATATGAGTTAAGGTATAAATCTATCCTTGAAGTTTTCATGCAGGTGTACCTCACATCTTCAAGGTTTTTTTTTTTTTTTGGCACAATGTCACCCCAATGGTTTTCAATTTGGTACAGTGTTGCCCTGCCATTAGTGTTAATCGTTAACTTATCAATTTGGTACACTGTTAAATGCTTTCATGGCTGCTACATGTGAGTCCAAGTCATTTTTTACTCATTTCTGTTTTGCTTCTTTTGGCCATGTAAACATCTTCCTCTTGTTTCATCCCTGTGTCTTCTTCACTCTTCTTTCATCCATAAACCTAAATATCAAGAGGAACCAAAACCCAAATATCAATCTTCATTCCTCGATTTTGACCTTAATTCCTTTCCCTTGTTCACTGAGGAGTTGATTTCCAGATTCATTGTCAAGCACAAGTGATTTTTGCTGGGCGGATTCATCAAATACGAGCGATTCAACCTTGAATCATCATCTGGATTGTGAACAGGAATTAGAGCAAGAATGCAAGCGGGTCGACCTAAAAGCAGCATCGCCGAGTAGGTCCAAGAGTAGCGACAGAGACAATGGATGATGCCGAGGGAGACAACAGGATGACGCTAGGTAGGGATTCAACGTGATTTTGACGAAGTGGGTGAGGATTCAATTTTGAAGAGGAAGAGTGAAAGGGGGTTGTTCTCGATCTAGGTTGCGTTCATGATTTAGATTTTGTTAATCATTTGGAAACATGGCTCTGGGTTGATCGACCATTTTACCTTGAATACATTTGTTAGATTTTCTACATGCTCATTTTCATTTAAGTTTAGTTGATTGGCCACCTTCTTTCTTGATCATATTTGGGTTGAGTTCTTAACCAGTCTTGGTCTAGGTTAACTTCTTTGTGTCTGTTCGCTTGTTCGATCTAGGTTTATTATTTTGTTGCCTTTTTGATTCAATCTTGGTCTAGGTTTATTACTTTTGGATGATATCGATTTATTGATTTGGGGTGTTGATTTTGATTTTGTTGCCATAGTTGTCGCTGTCTGGCAAGGTATAAGGGAAATGAAGCATCATGGTTGCCAATGATGTATAAGACAAAGGAAGGGGCGAGGATGATAAGCTAGGTGTATCTGACGTGCATCTATTTTTATTTTTGTTTTTTAAATTTTTTATTTCTTGAAATATTTTAGGTGGCAATTGAAGGTTTGACTAATGGTCAATGTGGTCAAACTTGATGGCAGAGCAGCATTATACCATTTTGAAAAACGTTGGAGCACCATTGTGCCAAAAACACTTCAGGATATTAGGTGCGCCTATATGAAATGAAAATTTTGAGAATATATTTATACCTTAACTCTTTAAATATCATAAAGAGTAAAGTCTCATTAATTTTATGCAATAATATCACTATTATTTTTTTTAAAAAAAAATTTCAAGCTTAATGTACAAGAAAAAAATTATGAAGATATTATTTATTTTATTTTTTAATAAGGATACATTTTTCCTACTTTCTATTTAGTATTTTTATCACTGTTATTTTAAATTTTTATTAGAAATCACTAACAAAACACGGTGTTCATTGGAACACCTCACAGGGAAATAAATTAATCATACAAACATTAAAATATGTTATGAATATATAATATACACATATAGTACATGCATTATTGTATACCTCATATTCCCATATAAGCTACTTCTAATTCCTTTCCCCGAATTCAGAAGAGGTGATTAAGATATAAACTTTATCTAAAATTATAATAAACTTTTAATTTTACCCATATTTAAATGAATTTTTTTAAAATCTGCATTATATTAACTCTCATAATTAATGAGTTTTTAAATAGGAATAATATTAGAAAAACATAATTAATATGCCATCAAGTGTTTTATTAAGGATTAAAGAATCTTTTTAGAAGGCACTCTGTAATAGGAACTAGGATTGAGTACATATTATATATAATAGGAAAAATCATAGTGAAGGACCTCTGGAGGATTTTATTTACTAAGAAGGACCGAATGATTCTAAATTCACACTACAAGATTAACGGACCAAAATATAATTATTTTTTAGTGTGAGAAGACAAAATTGCCCCTCATTATTTTAATTTTTTTAAAAACCTCTTTACTATCATCGACTACTGGAGCTTTGGTGCCGGTGGTCAAACCACCCTACTGGACTGGGCACCGGAGCATCGGTGGTGGTGGCTAGACCACTTGCTGAAGCTTTGGCGCCGATCACTAGACTGATGAGGGGATAGATTAATTTTTTTTTAATTTAAGTTTGAACCCACATCCTCTTGGCCACCAAGAGGATAATTAGCCATTAGGCTAACAATTCTTTTTAATTATATAATGCAAATCTTTATATATATATATATATATATATAAAGCTTTGTTTTCACTTTTCATGCCAATGTTTACTAAAATTTCAATGGTCACTTGTCATTTTACAAATGGTTACTTGTTGAACTACTAATAAGATTTGTTAGTTTTTATAAATGTTTACTTGTTTTTATTACCAAGAATGATAAGTCCTCATTAGCAATTTAACAAGTAACCATTTGTAAAATAACAAGTCTCATTATGAGCTTTGAAAATTTCTTTTAATAATTTGAAGAGAACATTTTAGTAAAATAACAAGTTCCTATAAGCTTTTGATATATAATATTTTAGTAATAAAAATAAGTAAACATTTTTAAAAACCACTACATATTAAATTTCTTTAATAAGTAACCATTTGTGAAATGATAAGTCCCATTACTAACATTAAAAATTTTTCTTGATAATGTAACAAACAAGTCCTCACTAATAATTTAACAAATAATTATTTGTAAAATGATAAGTCCCATTATTAGCTTTGAAAATTTCTCCTAATAATTTGATAAGTAAATTTTAATAAAATAACAAGTTCATATAAGCTTTTGACATATAGACTTTTAGTAACAAAAACAAGGAAAATCATAGCTTTTGGTCCTTGCATTGTGCTTGCGTTTTGCTTTTGGTCCTTACACTTTTTTTTTAGTGTTTTAGGTCCCTAAACTATTATTTTTCATTGTTTTAGGTCCCTCCAAGGTCCCTATACTTTATTTATGAAGAGACTTAAAATAATGAAAAGTAAAAGTGTAGGGACCTAAAATGCCAAAAAAAAAAATACAGGGACCAATAGCAAAACTCGAGCAAAGTTTAGGGACTAAAAGTTATATTTTCCCTAAAAACAAGTAAGCATTTATAAAAATCATTCCATATTAAATTTCTTTAACAAGTCCTCATTGATAATTTAATAAGTAACTATTTATGAAATGACAAGTCTCGTTATCTTTTAAATTTTGCTTTAACTTTTCATGCTAATACTTATCAAAAACTTAGTAGTTACTTATCATTTTATAAATGACTACTTGTTAAATTACTAATGGGACTTGTTAAAAAATTTAATATGAACTAGTTTTTATAAATGTTTACTTGGTTTTATTATCAGGAATGACAAGTTTCCATTGGTAATTTAACAAGTAACTATTTGTAAAATGATAAGTCTTGTTAATTACTAGCACTGAGAATTTCATTGATAAGTAAATTTTAGTAAAATAACAAGTTCATATAAGATATTGATAGACCAATATGAATTTGTTAAGTGAACAATGAAAATCTTTATATATATTTTAAACTTTGTTTTCAGTTTTCATGTCAATACTTATCAAGATCTTAATTGTTATTTATTATTTTACAAATGGCTACTTGTTAAATTATTAAGGGGACTTATTGAAAAATTAATATGCAATGATTTTTATGAATGTTTATTTATTTTTATTACCAAAAGCTTATATGCCAAAAGCTTTTGTAAACTTATTATTTTGTTAAATTTACTTGTCAAATTATCAAGAGAAATTTCAATGCCAATAATGAGACTTGTCATTTTACAAATAATTACTTATTAAGTTAGCAATGGGAACTTGTTAAAAAAATTTAATATGAAGTGGTTTTTGTAAATATTTACTTTTTTCTATTACAAAAAACTTACATGTCAAAAGTTTATATAAACTTGTTATTTTACTAAAGTTTCTTGT